GTAGCTAGTTCTTTGATATGTACTTTCAGATCAGAGTAATATCAAAGCAAAAGGTGTTAAAAAATATTTTCTAGATTAAATAATAGTGAACAAGAGTGTGATATGATCCTTTGTATCATTCATATAATGTGAACTTGTTGGCAAAATTTATGAAAAAGAAACTTACAATATTATAGTTATGCTAATATACAAAAAAACAAAAATCAGCTATGAAAAATTTGTTTAAAATGCTATTATTTATAGTACTGTTTCTGCTATTTATAATTATATTAAAATAAACTATAAAAAAATATACAGCAGTGGAGCTTGTGGGCATACCAATATTCTCTCTTGCTTCTGCAAGTTACCTCTACTTACTTATTAGAATCTTATTACAGTGGCTAAAAAGATTAATATCTTTATATTATAGATTAATAAATATATAATAATTTGCTATATTTGTTATATAAAGTAATATACAGAAAAACTTGTGTAAAATTATCATTAATATCAAAATTCAAATTAGCAAATTTAATTAAATTGCTTGATTTTTAAAATCAAACAATTTGATTAAATTCACCAATTTGAATTTAATATTAGTAATAATTTTTACTTGCAGATTTTTACTATATATTACTCATAAATATATGCTGCTTTTAAAATTTCTCATTATCTTATATTTTATTTTAGATGCAGTTTATTATCTTGTTACTTTTAATAATAAAAGATAGTCTGATTCTGAAAGTGCTATATTTGATTTTTTATATTAAAAGAAAATCAATATATAGTGTATCAAATAATATTCTTAAAAAAATTTATAAATTTCTTATCCATTCAATAGTTGTTAGTGAAGAAAACTTGTGCAATAATAAAAAGGCTCAAAAAAAAGAGTGCTCTGAGTTTAATTTTAAATGATTATTACTGTCTATTTTACAATCATTATTTATTGCCTTGTAGATATATTTTCTATGAAGATGCATATAGTACTACAAAATTATTAATTTTAAAATATAGAAAAAGTTTCAGAAGATGTTTGAAGAAACTGGTTTTGAAATTTATAAACATTATGAATTAGTACTAGTAAAAACTGTAAAAACAAAACAAAAAAATAGAAATTTAAAACTTATCATAAATAAATTAAATATAAGAGTGCAAAACAAATATTGGTGCACTATAATGAGTAGTGATATTGAGAAGACAGATACTTTTGTTTTAATGCTAAAAGACTTTATTAATTTGTTTTTTTTAACAATTTAATAAATAACAAAAAACTTTAATAGGCAGGTGGATGGTTGAACTAGTTCTAAGAACCAAGTTCATGAGTAGAGAGTTTAAATAAAATAATAATAATAATAATAACAATAAATAAAAAAAATTAAAATAAATAAATAAAATAGTAGTTTGATTGGATTGAAACAGTCCTATAGGCCAAACAGTAAATGAAGATAAGTTGGTTCTGTAGAGTTAAGATGATTAATCAAAGAATTTGATAGAATAATTAAAAAATAAGCAAAGCAGTTTTATATAAATAAAAATACAAATAATAAATTCATGCTTAAACTTTTTGTAATTATAAATATATTGTTTAAGCATAAAATTTAAATAAAATTTTTTATTTTTACAAAGATATTTTAATAGCATATAAATCTATTCAATAAATACTTTTATTTTAATTCTATAAATTTGTAGAATTAAATAAAATAAGTTTTATTAAATTCTATTATATAGCTGCTAAAATATCTTTGTTCAAAGTTTAAAATAATTTTGGAACAGCTTCTATTTAATTATATACTTAAAACTTTAAATAAAGATATTTCAGCAATTATTTAATATAATTTCCTGATTTTAGAATTGAAATTAGAAAAAATTTATTGAATTCTATTAGGTAGTTATTGAGATATCTTTGTTCAAAGTTTAAAATAGTTTTGTATAGCTTCTATTTATTAGACAGTTAAAACTTTGAATGATGGATTATATAAATTATTATAGAGATCTATAGCTAAAACTAATTTATCCTTAGTTCAAAGCTTTACTAGAGTAGGCTGTGTACATCTATTTACCCAGCAATATGTTAGATAAAGATCTATGCTATCTGATAATCTAAGCATATTTGATCAATCAAAATTTATCATAAGTTGATATATATAAACAATTTTTCTGTATATTCTTAAGATATTATGCAAAGTTTTCTTAATAACTACCTAATAACATTCAATGAATTTTTTTATTTTAATTCTACACATTTGTAAAATTAAAATAAAAAAATTGTCAAATTTGGTCATGTGTTTGTTGAGAAAACATCACTCAAAATTTAGAATTTTTTCTGTTTATTGGTAAATTTAAATATTTATGATTTTTTTAAAATTTTGAGCAAATTTTCTTGATAATTATATTGTTAAATTTGATGAAATTTTTTTATTTTAATTCCACATATTTGTAGAATTAAAACAAAAAAAAGTTTATTAAATTTGGTCAGGTGGTTATTAAGAAACCTTCACTTGAAGTTTAGGAAAAATCTGTCCTGTTTTAGTAATTGTGGTTCTGAATTTTTTTAAAATTTGAACAAAATTTTCTTGATAACCACCTGATCAAATTTGTTAAATTTTTTTTTATTTTAATTCTACAAATATGTAGAATTAAAACAAAAATTTTTCATCAAATTTTGACAGGTAGTTATCAAGAAAACTTTGCTTAAAGTTTTAAAATTTTTAAAAACAGATTCTTTCTAATTTCAAGTTAAGTTTTCTCAATAACCACCTGATCAAATTCAATAAAAGTTTTTTTTTTCATTTTAATTTCACATATTTGTAGAATTAAAATAAAAAAATTTTACGAATTTGATTAGGTGGTTATCAAGAAAATTTTATTCAAATTTTTAAAAAAATTCAAAACCACAATTACTGAGGCAGTACAGATTCTAAGCTTTGAGCAAAGATTTCTCAATAACCACCTGACCAAATTCAATAAACTTTTTTTGTTTTAATTCTATGAATATGTAGAATTAAAATAAAAAAAGTTTCATTGAATTTAACAATGTAGTTATCAAGAAAACTTCACTCAAAGTTTTAAAAAATTCAAAAGTACTTGAATTTACTAATAGACGGAACAGATTCTTCTAAACTTTGAGTAATGTTTTTTGACAAACACATGACCAAATTCGACATTTTTTTTTTATTTTAATTCTACAAATTTGTAGAATTAAAATAAAAAAAACATTCATTGAATTTTATTAGGTAGTTATTGAAATAACTTCGCACAAAATCTTAAGAATATGCAAAAAAATTGTTTACATTAACCCGTGATGAATTTTGATTAGTCAAGTATGCTTAAATCATCAGACAGCATGGATCTTCAGGTCATATCACTATGTTCAATTAGTAAACTCATATGACATTGTCATATGATTTGGATCTGCTGAGATGGGGATGCTGATGGAACGTATAATGTTGGGTATTGTTATCGGCATGGAATTGGTGTTGAAAAGGATGAACGTAAGGCATTCATTTATTATCAAACATCTGCAGAGATGGTTACGCTCCTGGAATGTCAACAGTAGCAGATTGCTATCGAAGTGGAATTGGAATTGAAAAGGGTGAACATAAGGCATCATTTATTATCAAAAATCTGCTGAGATGGGGCATGCTAATGGATCATATCAAGTTGGAGAATGTTATCGATATGGAATTGTAGTTGAAAAGGATGAACGTAAGGCATTCATTTATTATCAAAAATCCGCTGAGATGGGATATCTAGTGGAACGTATAATGTTGGAGATTGTTATCTTTATGAAATTGGAGTTGAAAAGGACGAACGTAAGGCATTTATTTATTATCAACAATCTGCTGAGATGGGGCATGCTGAAGAAACGTATAATGTTGGATCTTGTTATCGAAATGGAATTGGAGTTGAAAAGGATGAATGTAAAGCATTTATTTATTATCAAAAGCTGCAGAGATGGGGCATGCTTGTGGAGCATATCAAGTTGGATATTGTTATGATGGAGGAATTGGAGTTGAAAAGGCATTCATTTATTATCAAAAATCTGCCGAGATGGGCATGCTAATGGAACATTCCAAGTTGGATATCGTTATCACCATGGAATTGGGTTGAAAAGGATGAACGTAAGGCATTCATTTATTATCAAAAATCTGCAGAGATGGGGAACGCTGAAGGAACACATCTTGTTGGAGAATGTTATGAACAAGGAATTGGAGTTGAAAAGGATGAACGTAAGGCATTTATTTATTATCAAAAAGCCGCGGAGATGGGAAACGTTGAAGAAATAATTAATGCTGGAAGGTGCTATCTATATGGAATTGGAGTTGAAAAGGATGAACGTAAGACATTTATTTATTGCCAAAAAGCTGTAGAGATGGGGCACGCTGGTGGAATATATAATGTTGGATATTGTTATTATTATGGAATTGGAGTTGAAAAGGATGAACGTAAGGCATTCATTTATTATCAAAAATCTGATGAGATGGGGTATGCTGATGGAATGTATAATGTTGGATCTTGTTATCGAGATGGAATTGGAGTTGAAAAGGATGAACATAAAGGTTTCATTTATTTTCAAAAAGTCGCAGAGATGGGGGACGTTCGTGGAATTTCAAAGGCAGCAGAATGTTATCGAAATGGAATTGGGATAACAAGAGATTTAGATAAAGTCAAATACTGGTATCAAAGGTAAATTTCGAGTTTAAATTTGTGTGGATGCATTGTGACGTATCACAATCAAATCATATGATCAGGTATAATCGATATGTAAGAAATACAATAGTCATGATTAGAGTTAAATATGGTTAGAGTAGAGTGAAAGCTCTTAAAGTTTTGCAAAATTTTTTTCTTTTAAACGGACGCCACCCCTTTCCCGAACACAGCACTCGATTCGGTCTTGCTATTCACCCATTATACGACATCAGTCCCACTGAGCTATACCACATCATGGAAAATTTTAAGATGGACACTCTATTCGCAACGCTCAACTTGTTCCGTGGCAACGGTAAAATGTATTGCGGAACAATGCAGTGGCAGCACAACAGTCAATGTCCATCACGACAGCCCACCATACACCCACACACAACATCCTAACACTTACGAATCGCTTAAGTTCATTAGAGGACCTCAAAGCTTCTTACGCGTCGCTATCCACTCAGTATGCGGGGATCAAACAGTATTCGAGATTACTCGACATCCTGGAGACATCGATCCAAAAGACCTCGAAAACTCTCGAGTCATACCTCACAGCGCCGATGACTGGACAATTACCGTCCCAACTGTTGTCGGATACCATTGCCGACATCCTATCATCGAGTACCAACAACGTTATCTACGCCCTAACCGCTTGGCTATGCATCGAGTTAGCAATTATCTATGGAAGAACCATCGCGACCAAGCCGATATTATCGAATTTGCCACTGACAAACTTCTTGAAATTAATAACACAATTATTATGGAAGATTCTAAAAAGAGTTCCAAAATCGATCTTAATATTGACCTTATTGTCCTTCACGCTATTCTCCTCGAGCATCTTCATCGAAATCGAAGAATTGAGTATCGACGAGCTATTACACCGTCTGATGCACAAAATATGGTTTCACAAGCAAATTTCAAGTTATAGACGATAAGAAAAAAAATCATTGTACCTGATCTTGTAATGTTGAGGTGTTATGTTGCAGGGCACTAAATTACAAATTTCAATATATCTTGAGATACGTTATTAAACAAATTCATATGCTATATTTACATTACCGATTAGGGAAAAAGATTTAACAGCAGGTATGATTATAAATTATAAACTATCATTATGATTCGTCGTTAAAATGACGGGCTAAATGATAAAAGAACAATGTAAATATGTCACAAAAATATGCAAATCATATATGAGAGCAATCAAGAAAAATTATATGGGATCTTTGCTAGGAAAATCACCATTCGACATTTTTTCGATCGGGCTAATTCGGACAAATTCAAACCACCATACTGGTATTGCCTTTATTGCTTCAAACGTTCATTCGATAAGCTACTTTGCAGAAACTTGGTTTTTTGCTAAATATTTTTGTAATATAATTATTATATATCAACTAGATGATTACAATATTATTAAAATTAAATATAATAAATATATGACAGATATACATTAAAAATATTTTAATTATATTTTTTGTGATTCTATTAAGTAACTCACAACTAAGTAATTAATATATAATATTTATATAATTATAATATGATTATTATAGGCGACTGATATTTCCACACCCCTTTTTTGATATTTCCACACCCCTCATGCAGATCACTTTTCTTAAAACTTTAATCAAAGGTATCTCAATAATCACATGATCAAATTCGATAAAATTTTTTTATTAGAATTCTACGAGTCTGTAGAATTCAAATTAAAAAGAATTCGTCAAAATTGGCCAGGTAGTTACTGAGATACCTTCAATCAAAGTTAGAGAAAATTTTGCTGCAACTATTATTTTTGATAGATGTTTATATTTTTTAACTTTGATTGAAGGTATCTCGACAACCACCTGACCAAATCCAATAAAAATTTTTTATTAGAATTCTACGAGTCTGTAGAATTCAAATAAAAAAATTTATTAAAATTAGTCAAGTGGTTACCGAGATACCCTCAATCAAAGTTAGAGGAAATTTTGCAGTGGCTCTTATTTTGATAGATGTTTAGATTTTTTTTAACAACTTTGATCGAAAGTATCTCAACAACCACCTGACAAAATTCAATAAAAATTTTTTTATTAGAATTCTACAAATCTGTAGAATACAAATAAAAAAAAATCATCAAATTTGGTTAGGTGGTCATCGAGATACCTTCGATCAAAGGCTTAAAAAAATCTAAACATCTATCAAAATAATAGCTGCTGCAAAATTTTCTCTAACTTTGATTGCAGGTATCTCGGTAACCACCTGGCCAATTTTGATGAATTTTTTTTATTTGAATTTTACAGACTCATAAAATTCTAATAAAAAATTATTATTGAATTTTGTTAAGTAGTCATTGAGATACTTTCAATTAAAGTTAAAAAAAAAGTAATCTGCATGGGTGTGAAAATATCAAAAAAGGGGTGTAGAAATATCATTCACCTTATTATATTATAAAATATAAATATAGTAAAAATATTATTAAATATAATAGAAATATAACAAAATATAACAAAAATATAATAAAAATATTATAAAAATATAGTAAAAATAGTTTGTAATATGTTAAAATAATATTTAAAATATTGTAAAAATATATAAAAATATTATAAAAATATAATAAAAATATAACAAAAATATTATAAAAATATTATTTATTTTTATAATATTTTTACAATATTTTTATTATATGTTTATTATATTTTTACAATATTTTAAATATTAATTTAACATATTACAAAATATTTTTACCATATTTTTATAATATTTT